CTCAGGGCTTCTCTCCTCAGTGCTTCTTGCCCTTACACTTTCTCAGCTTCTTCGGGGAAGTCGTCCTGAGGGAGAAAAGTTCCATGGGCTGATTAGGTTTCCTCCTTTTTATTGTTCCCACTTCTAACCAGATTTTTTGCAGGCTTGCTTTTTTTCTCTCTAGATTGTACATTTTATTTTATTTTATGTGCATTGTATTTATTAGTTTTTGAGACACAGTCTCACTTTGTTGCCCCAGGTTTACAGTGGTGTCATCACAGCTCATTATAACTTCAAAGTTTGGGGCTCAAGCCATCCTCCTGACTCAGCTGCCTCAGATTCCCCAGTAGTTGGGACTACAGGCATGGGTCACTATTTTTCTATTTTTGGTAGAGGAGGGGTGGGAGGAAGGGTGGGGAAATCTCTTGCTCAGGCTGGTCTTGAACTCTTGACCTCAAGCAATCCTCCCACCTGGGCCTCATAAAGTGCTGGGATTACAGGATGAGCCACAGAGTCTGGTCTAGATTACATTTTATTTTTTTGAGACAGAGTCTCACTTTGTTGTCCTCGGTAAAGTGCTGTGGCATCACAGCTCATAGCAATCTCAAACTCTTGGGCTCAAGTGATTCTCTTGCCTCAAGAGTAGCTGAGACTACAGGTGCCCACCACAATGCCTGGCTATTTTTAGAGATCAGGTCTGGCTCTTGCTCAGGCTGGTTGTGAACCCGTGAGCTCAGGCAATCCACCCGCCTTAGCCTCCCAGAGTACTGGGATTACAGGCATGAGCCACCACATCTGGCCCTATATTACATTTTAAATTGTGGTGGGAGGAGATGCCCAGAGGCTTGAGCATAATGCTACATCAGGGAAAGCAAACTATACCCCAGGGCCAGAAAAGATTACATAATCGGCACACTGACTAATTTTGTAAATAAATTTTATAGGAACACAGCCACTCCCGTTCATTTATTGTGTCTGGCTGCTTTCAAACTGACAGAGTCACAGTTGCCACTGAGACCATAGGGCCCACAGCTTAAAATATTACTATCCCTTTACAGTTGAAGTTTGCTGACCTCTGCTTTAACTAATACCTTGGCGCATAATAGGCACTCACACAAACAACTATTTTCTCTTCAAGGCAAAAATCGGCTAGATTACAAATGAAATTGTATCCCACGGAAAAAGCTGATTATCCCCTATTTAAAGGACCTCAGGTTTTATTTTATAGTTAGTAGAGCTGAGATTTAAGGAAATTTATGATAGGAAAAAAATGTGCCTGATGAGAATAAAAGTACACTTCATTCCTGAGTTACTCCTTCATGGACAACACTTTTGTGCCAGGCGCTCTGTTGGATGTTAGTTCTAATCTTGCTGTCTCTCTGGGTAACTCTGAGACCTTTAGCAAGCTGTTTGGATTACTATTACACCTCTGCCTCTGCAAGAGGTTATCACCTCTTACAAATTTGCAAGTTATCGGGTGGCACTTGTGGCTCAAAGGAGTAGGGCACCGGCCCCATATATGGGAGGTGGTGGGTTCAAGCCTGGCTCTGGCCAAAAAAACTGCAAATAAATAAATAAATAAATAAAATAAAATCTAAATAAATAAATTTGCAAGTTATTTCTTAGGTAAGAAGAAATGTTATAAAGTCTTCTCTACCATTTAACCAAATGCATGAGGGATTTTGTTTTGATCCCACTTGTGATCTAGCACAGGCTAATGGGTGTTAAGAGCTAGTCTACTGGGTGTGTACCCTCTGGACTGACTGAATGAACCCTCTCATCTGGCAAACATCCTGGGCTGAAAAGCTCCTTTCTTAGCCATTCACCACTGAAAGAAGGCTCAAGAACAACTCCAGGCTCCTATCTCACAGCAATGATTATGAAGATGCATAAATCAGATAAGCATGACTTGTCTCTTAAGAAGTGCTTCAATGCAAATCAGAGGTATCTGTTCTCACTTGCCAAATATATACCTTTCCATGCAGCTGCCTTTTGGGTGAGTGGGAGGGTGAGCTTGTCTCCGAAGCCCTCTCCTGTCACGGATTCTGGTTGGCTTATGACAATGAATGGAAGTTTAGGACACAAGGTTCTGCCTAGGGAAGATCCCTGGTGTGCTGTCATACAGCTCCAGTGTGAGGCTCTTGTTTCTTGCTGCTTGACTAATCCTTGCTTTCATGGTGGTTTCTGATCCAGCCACAGAAACGGGTGCTCCAACGTCACCAAACATCTCTACCTCTGCTTCCCCAGCGCCATCACCTATGCAGACCCACACACCAGGTAAAATGTGTGTTGGGAGCCTAAGAGGCTCCCAGTGAGAGGAGCCAGAATGATAGTCCAGGATGAGGGTTCTTCCCTGGGTTCCCAAACAGGTTCTCCATAGGGTTTGTAATCCTCCTCTCCTTCGCAATTATATATACCTTTTGTACATAGAAGCATTTTCAGAGTGAGAGGACCCATCACTTTCTATCAGATGCTCGAAGGGTTTATTAGCCAAAAATCGTTAGGTCACTGATTCAGGACATCTAATGGGAATAATGTGGATCTGGCATTATTGTTATAAGGATCAGGTTAATGAGAGTCTGCCCTCACAAGAAGCTCTGGGATCATTTTGTCTATTCTGAAGTCACACCCTCCACTTGAAAAGATTTCAGTGAAGCTAACATTTACTTTGTCTCATGGCCCAGGCACCATGCTACATACATTTAATTGTTACGAGAATTGTATCTCTTCTGGGTGTGTTTCAAGTCTATTTTATAGTTGTGAGAACTGAGACATGGTCTAAAAGTTTGTAGTTGAAAGTTATACAGATAGAAATTGGCTGAGTTAGGATTTGATATTTGTTAATTTGAATTTGAGACTTATGCTTTCAACGACTGGATCCGGCCTTTTACCACAAGTGCTGAGCTTTATGTTTGGATGAATTTGTCTTGATCTGATGTCTTCATTGGAAAAGCCTTTAAACAACCACCCTGTCTTTTTTTTTTTTTTTTCATACTTTTTTAACTTCAGATTACAAACCATTAGGTTATGTAACTCACATATGACAGGTAAAATTCAGAGCTGTAGTTGTGTACTACACCCAGGAGTGTGCCATATATCCTTGCATTGTATCCATTGGGTAGGAAGCTACTGAGCCCTCTTCTCTTACCTCCTTCTTGAATTTAATTCAGTTTTTCTCTTGTGAACCACTCTGTCTTTTGAGGGAAGTCAGTGACTTACACAGGTTTGCTTCAAGTGTCCTTTATTTATGTAGCCGGACATTTTGAAAGATATTTATACTTATGAAAAAGTAAACATAGGATTTTAGGGCTTTAAAAGGTACATGTTCATGTTTTTCAACTCAGGCCACCATGGTTCAAATTTCAAATTCCCCATAGGTAAGAGTTTAGATTTAGTACAAATGGAGAACAACTTGACTTACAGGTGGGGAAATAGCTTGTCATTCTGAGGAGAAGTTTAGGTTCAAATCTTTTATTTCCAGGATAAAAAAGATAAGTTTTAGTGGAGATTCTCACTAAACCCCCACCCCCTACTCTGCTTGACCCCAGGAAGTAGCTCTGGATTTGGAGGAGTAACAGCAATGTCACAACCTATTAGTCAGAAAAATCTGATGGAACATTTTGATTTCCCTAGTCTTCCATTGAACTGTGCGTGTATTTAACAAGGAAGGATCTGAAGGGCTGGGCTATGAGCTGAGCCTGGAAGAGAGGGCTTTTGGTAAGAACTGGGATTTTAGAGCCATAAAAGTTTGTAAGAAAAACAGCTTTGTTCCAGGCAGCTGAACACACTAGAGAATCTATAGACGTTCTCAGTATTGATTTACCTTTTTAATACTTAGTTTGTGCCTACAAAGGTGGATGGATTCGTGTGCTTGGTTTGGAGAATATGTCTACATTATTGACTTTGTTTAGAGCTGGAATTTAGACAAAAAGTGTTGTTTTATAGAACCATGTGACCTTCTGAAGGGTGGCATGAACTGAACCTTACTTGTATCCAGTTTCCTAAAGAGTCTGAGTTTAGAGTTGAACTTCTCAGTACAGGAAGGAGTAAACCCAGAAGCAAATCTAAGGCGGGGACATGTCGCTCCATTTACCCCTCCCTCCCTGTACTCAGAACCTAAACTAGTCATGGAACAATCGGACGTGAGGTCATAGGGGTGGGGGAAAGAAGAAAAATCCCACAAAGACCCAAAGTTCAGAGAGAAGTGAAGTTTAAGAGGTCTTTTGCACAGAATTACATTGGGTAAAGACTGACCATCTGATTCTCATGCAATATCTTGTTTTTAGTTCAGAAAGACAGCCACATCTTCTTACAGGTTTGACACCAGCAGGAAAGAGGAAAACAGTTTAGAACATGAGAAAGGGTGATGTTGAGATGTGAAGTTACCAAGGTTGTTGTGGAGAAGGGGAAGCAGGCCAGAAGGAGGCCCAGGAGTAGGAATTCTAGTCCAGCCACCACCCCTAATTACTGTGGGGTCTTAGATGGGGGAATCATGCAAAGACCTTGTCAAGAGAGAAGTGAACAATTCTGTAGATGAGGTGGGATCTGAGACAGGATATAAAGGAGAGATTTCAGGAAAGGAAAGGAAAGCACAGCCCTGCGTTAAAGAATTCCTTGTGGAAGCTTTTTAGTGAGAATTGGAAGATGAGTCAGATAAGACAGGAAATCACCCTTGCGGGTTGCAAAGTAACCACGACCATGACATTGGGCAATATTTTCAGCTTGAAGGGACTCAAGGAATTCACATTCTGTGTTGGTTAATATGTGCATCCTCATGGAAAGCTGTGTGGGTAATTGAACCTAATGAGCGGCAGGAAATCCACCCTGGGGCTATTGTGAAGGGAATAAGTAGGTTAGTGCCAATTCTTTTTATTCATTTTTTTTCTTTTTACTCCCCACTATACTAACAAGGAGTTAATGCCAATTCTAAAGTCTTTTTTCTATGAAAGCAAAATAGCACTTGTATGGATAAAATAAGAGTTTAATTGAGTGTTGTACATAAAACGAGCTATTATGGGCTTTACATTGCACATTTAGAAGGAACCCTGGAGGGTAGAAAATGTAAAATAATCGTGTATTGATAAGGCTATCTACAACATGACCTAAATCACACTTGCTAGTGACAATGAAATATTATAACCAGATAGCAGTGCAATGCCTGGAGGCCATCCTGGAATAAACTTTCAATAGCAGATGAAAGACGTAGATGTAGGTAGCTGGGAGCCAGGCTCACCTCCTGAAGTAGGCTGGGTGTGGAAAGTTTTTGATAATTCCCGATTTAGTTCTGTTCTTTCTTTTCTCGGGGGAGTAACTTTTCCTCCACAAATGGAACACCTTCTTTTACTCATTTTATTCCAGCAGCAACATCGCCTTCTCCAGCTCAGCCATCAGAAACCCAGCCCACAACACTGCAAGAAAGAAGGGCGCAACCCACCAGTTCACCGTTTTACTCTTATGCAACAGGTAACTGAATTCTCTTTGCTGCACACTTGGGATAATTCAAATCTTGATAAGCAGTGGCATTGTTTACGGAATACACTTCTGGAATAAGACCCATCTGATCTGAGGGCCGACACCAGCTACTGAAAGAGTGAGAGGAGTCCTGCCAGGGGTGACATCAGCTATTTGACTCGTGCAAATGTCTACATTTTCTGAATTTGTTTTGTCACTTGTAAAATGGGTGTGATTCCATCAGTCTTATAGAATGCTTGTGAGGGTTAAATGTGATGACAGATTTGGGACATAGATACAAGGGCAAGTGACAGATACGTGTATAATAACAACTACTAGAATTCATATGCCCGACGGGCACAGGTAGCTTGTATGATCTGGAAGCATACACATGCGTGTCTTTTTATAAATCAGATCAATCTCTTGACTCTAAACTTATTATTACATTTGCTCCCTTGGATCAAGGCCTTAAAACAATTAAATCTAGTCCTCTGGTATGTAGAGCAAGCTGGTCAGCCATGCTTCTCCCGAGGCCCAGATCCTAAATATAGCCAGGCGTCTCCTGCTGCCTGGTCCAGCATGTATTTACATGAGCATTCTGAGATTGTGCTATGTGGTCTAGATGTTTGCATCTCCTCAGAGTTCATGTGTTGATACCTATTCTCCAAAGCCATAGCATTAAGAGGTGGGGCATCTGGGAGATGATTAGGTCATGGGTGCACCCCCTTCATAAATGGGAGTGTCCTTATAAAGGAGCCCCAAGGGAGGTTGTTTGCCTCGTCCCCACATGAGGACACACAGAAAGCAACATCTGTGAGGAATGGGCTCTCACCAGGTCACAGAATCTACAGGCGCCTTAATCTTGGATTGTCTAGGCTCCAGAATTGTAATATGTTTCTATTGTTTATAAGTTACCCAGTCTAAGATATTGTGTGTTACAGCAGCTTAAACAGACTAAGATAGATGAACTGGGGACCTCAAAATCAGTGTCAAAGAAGCAAACCCCTCAGAGCTCTTACTACTTCTTTCCAGACAGTCTTTTTCCCTTTCTCTAGTTTGAGCTAGCCTCCTGTAATCCCTACTCGTTAGAAATGTAGAATTTGCAGGTCCTCATTACAGTGGAGAAAGGAGATGCAGAAACTTGTCATCCTTCCTGGCTCCCTCTCTTGGATTCCACAGTGGTAAGCTTGGGGGGGGGGTGCCCTGGGCTGAGCCCTTGGTGATGCAGACCTGGCTTCCGTGTCTTTCTGCTGCGTTCAGACAAGGTCATACCTTGCAGAACTCCTCTTGTCTGTGACTCATTGCACTCAGCAGCTGCCAATCTGTGGGCCCCTGCCTCCCACCCCGTATGACTTACCTTTTGCCAAACATTCCTGGAAGCTGGTTAATTTAAAACAAACCTGCAGTGAGATTCACAGAAGGATTCACTCGGTTGGGATGAGATCATGGTGACATTTGGTTTTGAAAGTGGAATCCTTAGTGCAAACTGTTTCTGGGCACAAAAACAAAATGAAAATAGATAAAAACACAAGGTAACAGCAGTAGGAGCAGCTGCATCCTGCTCTTTTAGGGAGTGAAGAGGAAAAAAGTAGGAGTGGGGAATCATTCTCTAAAATATCATGTCACCGAAACCTGGTCGAGGTAGAGCTCCCCAGGGTGGAACAGACAGTGGAGCAGCTGGGTCCCCGGGACTCGTATGAGGGCTGCCATTCTGGCTGTGACTATGAGGCTCTTGGGCCAAGTCCTCGCTGTGCCTGTGTCAGCTCTCAGTTGCCTAAAGCCACATGGCAGCAAGGAATGTGAGGCCTGAAAGGGATTTGGGTTGTCATGTGGCCTTTGGCAGATGTGTGTGCCAGGAAATTCATATACTATCTCATTTAATTCTTTCTGAATGGCCATATTTATTGCCATTGTCAGATTGGTAAGGCTCTATAAATCTGCTTGGGAGGCACACAGCCCCCCCAGTTCAGCCACCGGTGACTACATGTGTGCCCACTGGCACAGTGTTGAACATTCTACCTGGAGATCTGAGTAGATGATATTTAGAAAGTACAGTGCACAGTGGTATCCTTGTCCCTCCTCATGGCTCCCTCTATCATGTAATATGAATAGCTGGTATTATCCAGCATAGTGACATCTATGTTCCATGCATCATCCATGTAACACCTTTGTGTGCTGCGTGCTATTAATAGCTTGTAGTTCAGGATACCCTATCTAGAAATACAAAAGATGCCTAAAAATGTATACACATTTTGAGAAAGGAGAAAACTGTATTAAAATCATGATATCAAGTCACATTTCACTTCTGCAATTATAAGAGATACAACCTTCAAGATAACAAAGGTTATTGGTATGTATTGAATATTGCAATTTCAATAGAGTGTTTTTCTTAAACTATGCATATATTTTTGGCACATCTGTATGTATATGGTATCTCCCATCTGCACTTTCACTTTCACAGTTTCAGTTACCTGCGTCAACCACAGTCTGAACATTTTAAGATCATTTGGAAGAGAAAGAGATAGACTACATTTACATAGTTTTTATTACACTATATTGTTACATTCTATTTTATTATTAGTTATTATCAGTTTCTTGTGGCACCTAATTTATAAATTAAACTTTTTCATAGGTATGTATGCATAGGAAAAAACAGCATATATAAGGTTTAATACTATTCACGGTTTTTTGCATTCACTGGGGAGGGGATCTTAAAACATACACCCTGTAGATGGGGGCACTATTGCATACACACCTCTTCATGTACAGAGACACATTTATACACAGGTACATTCATCGATGCTTATGTGTGTCAAGGTTGCATTGCTAACAGACCTTGTCAGCACTGAACTCTAACTTTATGTGATTCAAGTCTATGCTATTTTTACTGCATCACCTATCCCTTTTCCTGGAGGTCTTAATTAAGGTCATAAGCAGATTCTAGATAGACTCTAGACATTGCATAAACCTAGATACTGCCTTTGGCTCTCCTAGAAGTGGTCTCAGAATAAATAAAATGTGAGCATTGTATTGTAAATGTTTAGGGGGTGTATGATTAGTCCATTTCTATTCATGTTGAGGTTCCAGTTTATACCTTTATCAGTTAGGGAATTTTTAGACCTCTAGGTATGTCCTTGGGATGGGAATGTAATGTGTGGGTGGGGTGGTTCTCAGCAGAGGCCCTTGTCATTTCCTAAAGATGAAAACTCGTGTATCCATTCCCTGTCTGCTTCTTCATCTATGCTAGAAAATGAAACTAAGTTTGACAGGCTGAGGCAGGAGGACTGCTGGAGGCCAGGAGTTCAAGAACAGCAGAGGCAACATAGTGAGACCTTATTGCTACAAAAAAAAAAAAAATTTAAAAATTAGCTGAGCATGGACATGCCCATAATCCCAACCACTCCAGAGGCTGAGACTAGAGGATCACTTGCACCCCAGGAATTGGAAGTTGTGGTGAGCTAGCTGGGAATGAACCACTGCATTCAAGCCAGGGTGACAGAACAAGATCTGTGTCTCTTAAGAAATAATGCTAATAAAAAGTAAAAAAAAAAAAGAGATTAAAACTTGGTATTAGGAATTTACCTTTTTTTAATTGCAGTTTTTTTTTGCCCAGGGCCAACGGTTTGAACCCACCACCTCCAGTATATGGGGCTGGCGCCCTACTCCTTTGAGCCACAGGCACCACCTTGGAATTAGGAATTTAACTGGCTTAGTATACAGTATATACTCAGAACAAAGAGAATTCTTCTGGTGTGAGTGGTGGAAGGAAGAGAAGGAGAGGGATACAAGGAGGGTAGGGAAAAGGGGAGGGATTTGAGCTCAGGCACCAGTCTGGAAAGCCTCTAGTTAAACAGAATTTTGTACTTGACTTGTAGTTGGATAGAAATGTCAACAGAATGTATTGTCTATGTCAAAACAGATAATTTCAAAACACTTTGAAAATTTCAATGACTTTAAGACCAATGTGTTTTATGCCATATAAAATCTTAATCCTTATATGGTATAATATACATTGGTCTTATGGCTGACATAGCATTTTCTAAGAATTTCTAGATTAAAGTCCAGGCACATTGGCATCCAATGTAGTTATATAATACCTTTTGTAGATATCATGGCACATTTTTTTTTTCGAGACAGATCTTACTTTGTTGCCCTTGGTAGAGTGCCATGCTCCATAGCCCACAGCAACCTCCAACTCTTGGGCTCACACAATCCTCTTGTCTCAGTTTTTTGATTTTTGGTAGAGATGGGCTCTTGTTTTTTGCTCAGGCAGGTCTTGAATTCATGAGCTCAAACTATACACCTGCCTGAGCCTCCCAGAGTGCTAGGATTATAGGCATGAGCCACTGTGCCCAGCCCATAGTGCATTTTAATCATATTTTAAATGTAAAAAACCTATGTGATGTCCACTCAGAATAGGGTGGTTCTGATACCTGGATGTATATATGGCTTCTGGGCACTCACCAACAACTTTTCAGCTAGCATGAAAATATTGATTGCCATTAAATGGTGCTCTTAACCTGGTACCATGAATGGGTTTCTGTGATTCTCCTAAAATTGGAGGTAAT